AACTGGCTCTCGTCTATTCGCATTATTTGAAGCCCTCGATAGCGCTTGCTTCAACTCCGTCATAACTTTATCCTGACGCGTGAAATGGTCTAGAATGATCACTTGTTGCTCTTGCAAGACCTTTACCGCGTCAACGACGTGTTCCTCCTCGGCGTCATCGGGAGTTGTCTCCCAAACATGTCGAAGATATTGCCTGTCATGCACTGGTCTGGTGTCGTTCCCTTCGTAATGGGTGTCACTGATTGAGTCTTCGAAATGAGGTTGATCCCCTCGAATCTCAGGATTGTGCGTGTTGTTTATAACAGCGTTATTTTCCATTTCTTATGATTTTTTCTAAGACAAAATAATCAAAACATGTTAGTAAAAAAGGCAACGATCAATTTAATTGCACGGATGTCTAGGCCCCACGATGGGCACCAAATTGTTTACCCGTAAATTGGTACAGTTGAATTTATATGTGGTTTCTAGACAAGTGAATTAATTTGATCCGGAAATAATAAGATAATTGAAGAGATATGCAATACTTATCCTTGAGATGAAGACGAAATAGAAAAAACACAGTGGTTTCGGGCACAAATATAACGAAATAGAAAGGCAAGAAGATAAAATTGTATTAAGCTTTGGATAAAGTATAGTATAAGCTTGCCAGAAAATTCCTCCTCTTTTACAATGATAGCTGAACTCATTATTTATAGCTACGTCTAGGGAAGGAGATCCTAGGATCGTGCCTCTCTTTAATGTCAGTTATGTGGGCCATTGATGAAGATGTAACGGTGAGCATAAATGCCAAATTACTTGTAACGGGCAATCCTATTTAATTCCATGGAATATTTCCTATTAAATGCTACCGGGTGAGGAGTATTTATTACATCCTTATGAGCGTTATTCTCCCCGGTGACAGATGGAACAGTTGCCTTCAGTCTTGAACATTCCCCCGTCTTAGGTTCCACGTGTCCCTTTTTTGGACGATCACGTGGCATAGCGTATTTTACCCTATGCAGTTTTTTAGACTATTTTCCTTCGTGTGATTTTATGCGTAAAAGAAGGTTTAGATCAAGTTAACTTATGTATGAGGCATTTGCACAAATGGCCTTTTGAGATCAGTATTTAACGAATGTCCTAAAACTGCCATATGGTGCAAATAATCTCTTATGTATACAAAAAACAAGGTCGGCATAAAATTTGTCCAAAAACCAAGTGTGAAATTTCTTTGGATGTCATTTGGAAGAGACGTTTAACTTTTTTCATTGTTTAAGGAATTGAAGCAAGCTTGTTTGAAACACACACTTCTTCGAAGCGCAAGGTATCACTCATGAAATGATAATTAATTCCTTGTTTTACATTGTTTCATTGCTTTAAGCAGCAAAGCGATATTTTAATTTTGATGACACTAGTCTTTAAAATCCCAAAATAAAGCTTTCAATTTGTTACTAAACTGCACTAAGTTAAGTCTTTATTCTAGGACCAAGATTGCCTACAAATGTTAAAAAATATGAAGGAAGAGAAGCATCAAATGCCCTAGAACTAAGCTTGCCATTGTCCAAAACTTGGGAGAAGTTGCTTTAGAATCTTGAGAGTTGGGAATGTCCGATCCATTACCGTACACGGCGTTTATATTTGTTGGTGGTGGTGGATACATAACTGGGATGGTTGAGATTCCTCCACTTGTATTGTTGCGTCCTCCCGCTTCGGGAGGAATCAGCCCACCAGCAGCCCTAATCAAAATTTACAATCCAAGGCATTGAGCTTGAGATATATACAAGGAGATAGCAAATTAATATGATGGCAAACATATTTGACAAGACTATATGGACAATCACATCCATAGAAATTAAAATTCAAGTCTAAATAACGACAATATTCTGAACATTTTAACTTCTTTTACGCTAGCTAACAGTTTAAACGAAAATTTGTTTATACTTTCAGATTACCTAAAGAGTTGTTATGCACAGGTAAACCGTTCATAATAAGTTGGACTAGCAACATGATGAAAAGTCAGACAGGAATTACATAATGTTATAACAAGTTAAATTACACTTGTTTTTACGGTGTTAGTGTATATAAATTAAACCATATTATAAATAAGAACAAGAATTAAAAAGAAAGACAACCCAAGAACAGCAGGAACATCATCAATACAATCCCAGTCATGCAGCACTATATAAAAAGGAAGAAAGAAAAAAGTTTGCTCATGCTGTTCTACTTTTTTAAAAAGAAAAGTAGCATTATTTAGGGAGTTAATGGAAGAAAAAGCACTTTTTTCCTATTGTCTTCTTTGTTAATATTTATAAGTAGAAAGGGAATGAATGAACAAGTCTTTCGAATTTAGCGGTCTATCCTATGGATCAGAGGCGAATTCAAAATTTAAATTTTATGAGTTAAACTTTTAAGATTTTCAGCATTGAACTTATTATACTGAGAAGAAAAGGTGATAGGAAATATAAAAACAACACAATAAAAAGATGGAAAATAAATGAGAAATAAAGCAAGTTTAATTAAAACAACATACCTTGGTGAAGCTGGGTAAACACAAGATCCATAGCCTAAGAAAATACAGAATAAATCACAACTCAGCCCACTAATGCCTCTGTTCTAGCTATTTGGTATAGAGTTTAACTTTTATATAATATATAGCAAGAGAATTTTTATTGTATCAAATTACCTAAAAATAACAACATAAATAATATTTATTCGTACTCGGTATTTACATACATCAATGAAATAATGAAATCTTTAGCAAAAAATTTTAATTAAAGTGACGATACAATCACTTAACTATGGTTAATTAAATACATTCATTTGTTTGCTGTAAATACCGAATGCGAATAAGTTTTTACCCTGTTCATAATAGGTGGAACTGGTTATATGAGAAAAGGCAGATAATTAACCAATTATCACATATCAAATTATACTGAAAGTGTAAAATTATTTTCACTATTGGTGCATATGAATTAAACTAAGAGCCCGTTTGGATTGACTTATTTTAAGTGCTTTTAAGCCAAAATAGCTTTTAAGTCATTTTATAGTGTTTGGATAAAGTAAAAAAGTGCTTTTAAGCACTTGTTTTTAAGCTAAAATGACAAAAATAAGCCAAAAGCCAAAAGCTAGAATTCCTAATTTATGACTTTTGGCTTAAAAGTCACTTACAACAAGCCCATCCAAACGGGCTCTAAATCCTTGTGCACAAGAGATAAAACAACAACAAACTCAGTATATATATTCCACAGGTGGGGTCTAAGAAGGGCAATATGTACGCAGACCATATATAATTACCCCTATCTTGTGAAGATAGAGAGAATGTTTTCGATAGACCCTCGGCTAAAGAAAAGATAAAAAAGGAAGCAGTGACTACAACAAGATACGATGATAAGGAAACCGAAACGTAGTAGAACAACATGTAGTAATAAAGATCTAAGTATAAGAAAATACGAGTGCATAAGAGATGGAGAAAGAGATTACTTGGGTCAGTTTTGGCAATAGTAGCAGTGCCAGAAAATTCACAAGAGCCAGGAGCTTCATTCTTCCTTTGATAGAAACTATTATAAGCATAAGAAGCATGATTTTGAATAGTATTTGGGAGATAACAAAGGCCAGAAGATTGAATAGGTACACAATCAGCACCATAGCTACAAGCATAATCTAAACCTCTTTGCAAAGCTTGTGCACTTGCATCACTTCTAACTACACACCATGTTGCTTCTATAGTTGTAACAATAATAATATTTAAGGTGCAAAATATGACCACATGTATGGATATTTGTGGTGATTCCATGAACTTATATACAGGGTTTAGGGTTTAGGGTTTAGGGTCGATAAAATAAGTGTTTCAGATCTAGAGATAAGAGTTAGATATACATTTCAGAATCCGTACTCTTAACTTAATACTTTAAATTCTGAATTTGTTGTCAGTGTATGTTTTGAGAGTTGGGAATAAGGAGTATTAGAGATTTGGTAAAGAAAGAAAGAGAGGGAAAAAGGAGAGGAATGATTTACAATTGTGGACAAAGAAGACTGAGAATTAAGTGGAATGGAGATATATATATATATATATTGTGTTCTTTATTTATTTTCTTTGCCTGTTTATGTAATTTTCTTTTTTTCTTTTATGGGTGTTGTGCTCTGTGTCATCTTTTTCTTTTTATCTTTTCAAATTTGCTTTTCTGCGTTGGGAGTTTGAACTTTAGGAGCTTTTACTTTCCAATCAGATTACACACATATTACTAAAGTAATATGATAGATTTATATATTATAAAAAGTAAATATGGCATGATATTGTAAAAGTTTATACTGCCTTGCCTATAAGCTAAACTCTTATTATATATTGTAAACATAGAACGTACAATCAAATTTCTTTATAACAATATTAATATATTGTATTAATAGTGTATTACTTTTAGAATACGGGATTGTAGATGAATAAGTTATCCCGGGATTATAATATGAAAATTAAATATTGATGGAATTATTTAGTGAATATAATTTAAAAGAATTAACCCAAATAGTTTATTGGCAGATGTTTGGTTCATTGGACTACAAATGGAATATACAGAGTATATATAAATATGAGTTTGTTATATACTAAATAAGTTGGGATAAACTTTTATTTCTAATTTTAACTTTGGATTGTTTAAAAGACTTTGGGAAAGAACCTTAAAGAATAATGTCTTTGTTATTTTAGTGTTTATTCCAGGATTAATTAATCCCGAAATTATTACCCTTTATTCACATGTCAAACGACCACTAAGTTTAATGACTATTTACATCCCGTTGACGCATTTCACCTTTACTTTCCGACCACATGTCATACCAATACAATAATAAAAGTAGTAGAATATTTTTATCAGAACAACATATTAAGTCATACCTAATTTGGGCCGAAATATTGTCTCCAAGACTTTTAACGACTTTCACTAGGATTTTGAAAGCAGAACCAATCAAGTTGTTAAACTTGTTCTTTAATGAAGTCAAAAATATTTAAAACATGTCGAAATAAGACAAAATTGATTTAAATACCTAATACATTAGAAACAATGAAATAAACGAATTTCGACACGTAATATAAATATATACATATGAAAAATCATCAAAAATGTAATAAATATGAAATTCTGAACCCATAATTGCAAAAGTAGATTGGGTTCCATGGTAAGAAGCTAAAGTTTGAACCCGTCTGCAGCAGTTGGTATTTAACAATCAGCGATATTCCTGTTGGAGCTTCTTCAAATGCTAATAATACTGAATTCAAGGCCGGCAATATAGTCCTTTGTTAGTTGTTACATGGCAAGGCTTCAGAAGCCAACCAAAGTGCGGCCAAAGCATGTTTCAAAATGAACAAGGCTCAAAAGAATGGTGTATGTACAAGCAAAAGTACTCTCTTGAAAAGCTCTTGTCGATACTTTCTCAATCTGAAAGCAACATGTCCAACTCCGGATTCTCAGATATGTCAGTGTCATAGTCATTACTTGTTACCTTAGACGAAGTTTCAAGTCGAGAGCTACTATGCGAAATCTCTACTGTAGCATTATCTACTTTCTCGCATATGCATGAAGATGGATTTTCATGAAACACACCCCAGCTTGGCCCTACCTCCTTTGGCTCCCCCATGAAACCTCTCTGATATTTACCAACTCTATATACAAATTCCTTCTCTGTCATGTAATTTCTGTTTAAAAACAAGCGATATAGTTTCCTACCATTCGGGCGAATGGTAGGCTTATGACCAAAATATCTCCTGTATCCAAAAGAAAAAAAAGCATATTAGTCAGCCTCCATATACCTATTAAAGGGCAGCCCGGTGCACTAAGCTCCTGATATGTGCGGGGTCTGGGGAAGGGCCGGACCACAGAGGTCTATTGTACGCAGCCTTACCCTACATTTCTGCAATATGTTGTTTTCACGGCTTGAACCCGTGAGCTCATTGAAATACCTATCGCACAACAAAATTGAAATAGCAGAAAGGGAAGCAGCAGACCTTCGCCCTGCTAAAATTTTCGCCATGTTTCCATGGTTGTTGGTGACAAATACATCACTTTCATCACAAACTATGAAGTCAAGAGCGGCCATTCTAGATGAAAACGCAGAAAATGGTTCTAACTCATCCTTGGTGGCAAGGGTGTCCTTTGTGTAGAAGTTTGGAAAAAGGGCTTTCAATGGAGTCAATGTCTCTTCTCCTCCGTATATTTCACCGGACGCCACATATATATGAACATCTTCGGCATATCCAATTGATCTCAGCATTAAGCCAACTTCTTCAGGAGTTAGAGGGCATCTTCCATGCCTCCTTGCCTTATCTGGGTCACTGTCCTGAAAGTATATTGGACATAGAGTTCACATATCACATTGTATGAAAGTAGGGCTAAAAATTGGCCCGTAGCGTAAAAACATGTTCTTTACACTGCAAACTGTATGTATCTGTTTGTGTGTATATAAAGGACAAGGATGACTAAAATCAGTGTACTACCCCAGACTATGTTGCATAGCCGCACCACACGTCAAAAACAGGCTTAACGCTATACAAGGGGCTAACGCGTAATGGCTTTCTTTCGTAGAGGCTTGCTTCTTCAAGTTCAAGTCCCGCTTGCTGCTTTTCCTTTTGATAGGAGTCGGTGGTTGCAGCTTGCTCGCAGTCCACTTAATGAGCTTTCACTGCCCGGCCCCTATCTCTAATCTTAAGTAAAGTGAAGTCAAATCAACGAAGTAAACAGCCCAACCTCTTCGTTTGAAGCTTTGACAGGAAGCTTCTACTCGTTGAAGCTTTGTTTCCCTTAATTCCAAAATATAACAATCCCGTTGTGTTGGACTCTTCTCTTTCTGATAGGTAGTTCCCTCGTTGTACACAATTGAAAACCTGAACCAAAAGTGCCTTTTTCTTTCTTTCTGATAAAGAAAGATATGAACCTAAAATTGCAGCCCGGGCATAGGTTCAACAGTAAAGAAAGTAGAGCCCGGGATGTGTGGCAAGCGCACATCACAAGCTCGAACCGTGCTGGTATTTAAGTGGAAGGAAGGTAGAGGGACAGGCACATATCCCCCACGTTTCTAACTTGTTTGCAAACCAGAGATGGGGCTAACTACAGAGGATTTAAACAATCCAAGAAGAGAAAGAACCAAAATTCAGATATAGATCGACAAAACTTTAGTGCATAAATGGAACAAAATGAAACAGTCAAATATTAGAAGCTCACAGTTACAACGATTATGATTGGATGCTGATACACAGGTACTTACATGTAAAGTTTTCCACTTCTTCCGTATCTTCCCCAGTTCTCTCCTCTCCTTATCTCCCCCTCCATAGTAGCATCCTGAGAATGCAAGCATATCGGATTCAAACCTGTTAATGGAAGTATATGCACCATCAGCACACTATTTCTTCTTCTAATATTAGTTAAAACATCCATCAAAAGTTAACATGTCAGCAGTATAAGAGAATAAAGCAAGGAGAAAATAAATTGCCATAATTAAATGAAATGGTGTTTGTTATCAACATCCCTAGCCACAATTTTCATGTAAGATAAACTGTTCCGACAAAGTCAATCATAACTTATACCCAAGAATGTATATACTATAATCTTGGCTATGTAAACTATTTAACTTCCTGAAGAGGCATTAGACAAATTAAGTAGCAGAAGTCTGAGCACAACACTTATAGTAAACATTAGGAAATCAAACAGGACAAAGGGAAAGTGGGAAAAAAAAGGAAGAAAACTATAACATTAACAAGGATCAAATACTAACTGTATGTGATCATGAATGAGAAAAATAAATAGAAGACTAACCTTAAGTGAAGAGCAATAAAATGATTGCTCTTCATCCTCATTCGCTGGATCAATTTCTCACCCATTCTAAGTATAGGGTCAGCAAATTTCAATGCATGATAATTAACTCTGCATCTAAGCTTTTGCAAATCTGTATCCAGCTTATTTGCAAGTCGATAGTCAAACTTGGTGATCTGTACAGCCTGTTACAAGAAGCAAATGCTATACAGGTCTAGAAATATCAACATTCAAACATATCTTATATACAGCATAGAGATATCCGTATCCAGGATGATTTATACAGTTGAGGAATGAATTTCCTAATTTGGCTGTGCATCTAGGTCTGAAAACCAAATTTCGAAAACTAAATTGAAGATGAGTAAACCTGATTCAAGTTGAGTTGTTAACAGACCAGTTAACCTGATTCAACTAAGCAACAATAATCTTCTCAACCTCTACCCTACAGAGATATAAAGAATAAAAGTGGATATTTGGAAACGATTTTGTATTCTTTTATTCTTAGTTCTTTATTACTTTGTTATGTCACTAGCTTCCATTACTTATTATATTACTGATGTGATTACTGTTCTTGTATTCTTTTATTCTTAGTTCTTTATTACTTTGTTATGTTACTCTCTTCCATTACTTATTATATTACTGTTGTTATTACTTGTTGCTTTATTCTTACCGTTTCTTTAGTCGAGGGTCTATCGGAAACAGCCTCTCTGCCTTTATAGGATAAGGGGTAAAGCTGCGTACACACTACCCTCCCCAGACCTCATGTATGGGATTAAACTGGGTTTGTTGTTGTTGTTGTAGTTGTATTTGGAAACGATTGTCTTTTAATGGGAAGTTTTCTCATGCATCTAGTAGTATTCTCACTTGACGATGAGCTTATACTCGCATCCAAGCTAAATCATATTCCACCAAATGTTCCAACATATTTTACTATCACATGAATCAGTGATTGATATTCAGAAGTGTCTTAGTAAAGATTATGCGTATGGATGATATTTGTATTGAAGTTGAGAAAAGAGTATTTGAAGTTAATGTATCGATATACTCACATGTTTCTTGTTAAGTACAGGCAATACACGATTTATATAGCAACGGTCAGTGCACTTTCTAGGAACTCGCATTCGATAAGGTGACCAGATCTGTCCTCTTCTGAGTGGGAGTTCCTTTACAATTGATACATCTTTTGCTAGATATTTTATAAACCAATCAACATCGAAAATATCAGAGAAGCCGCTGCAAGGAAAAGGCATAGTTCACTTTGTAGTTACTTGTATGATCACCAGCCCCAAAATATAACCATTATGCAAAGGAAAAGTAAAAATATCATTTTTCAGCTACTCACCTAGAGTCTTTCCAATAAGAACTCTTGTCCAGCTTCGGAACAACAAGAGTAGCATTTAAAATGCGAGCAGCAACAACAGCATCAGTTATCTGCCATTGAGGTGAGAGAGCTTAAACTGTTAATTACAGAACCATTCTCATTCCATGTAATCATTGTTGTTCGATGTGAGAAGGAAGTTAAACTATGCAGTAGTTAATGGCAGGAATACTATACAAACTGTTACACATTACAAAAGGCATACACATGTGTCATTTTTCAAGGAAATATTATCTCTCTTTCGGGTGAAAATAGAAGAGCCAATTGTTCACAATGTACAAATATTTCCAACCATAGACTCATAAGTTATGGTTTATACAATTCCTCTACGATGAGTTTGATAAACAGCAATCAGATTTCTTATTGAAAGCCAGTGCAAAGCACGTTTGCTTACCCCAGTTCTTTGTTGGTTAAGACCTCCACTTGTTACAATTGACAAGTAACGATTTGGATGAGTGATGTCCTGTGCTTCTGCAAATTTTACAATGACTTTAATTGAGAAATCGCAGAGTAAAATGAGATTACCAAAAATACAATATGGATTAGCTTCTTCCAAAAGCTAAAGCAATACAACAACAGCCTAAATTCCACTAATTGAAAGAGGAATGGAGTTTTACGCACTTAGAAATTTGTTACTAGCATTGCTGCAACCATAAAAGAACTTGGAATTTCTGGAACTCCAGATATCCCGATCGGATACTCCTTCTGATCTGGCCTTGATCTCAAGAATCAATCAACACAAAAATTTAGAAATCTTAGATCCAATCAATAAATAGAAACTTAGTAGAGAAAACAAGAAGACAGGAAATTAACCGGAACGTGAGATTGAGAATCTTCAATCTCATTATCAGCATCATTGTCATCCTGCAAATACAAAATTACAATCAAATTAATACTTCAAAACGTGTGCTTGCGCGCGTGCGCGCACACACACACACACACACATATATATATATATATATATATATATATATTGTTGTGTGGTAATTAGCTATCTCGACCATTCCATCAGATACATGCTAGCGCCAAAAAATCTACCAATAAAATGGACATGCATTGCATATGTATCATTGTCTGGGAAGCTATCTCGACTATTCCATCAAATACATGCTATGTAAAAATTCTACCAAGAAAATGGACATGCATTATATGTGTGTGTAAATGTGTATACACACGCATACATATCATAGTCTAGGAAGCTATCTCGGTTATTCCATCAGATACAAAAATTCTACCGAGAAAAATAATGGACATGCATTATATGTGACTATATATAAATAAAACATATAGAGCTATCTCGGCTATTCCATCAAATACCTGCTACTATGAAAATTCTACCGAGAAAATTAATGCACATGCATTATATGTGACCATATGTAAATATAATATATAGAGCTATCTCGGATATTCCATCAAATACCTACTACCGTGGAAATTCTACCTAGAAAATTAATGGACATGGATTATATGTGTGTATAAATAAATATAATATATAGAGCTGTCTCGGCTATTCCATCAAATACTTGTTACCGTGGAAATTCTACCGAGAAAATGGACAAGCAATAACAGGTCGAATACAAATAGTATAAGGAGAAACAAGGGTGAGCTGAATGCCATACCGAGGAATGACGACGGGGAAGATGAAAGAGACGATTGCCATTGGGAGAAGGAGCGAGAATGGAGAGGAAAAAGATAAATAGGAGAAGAAAACCAAAAGCAGCGGAGATGGCCGGGATTAGCCACCGTCTACGGCTATAATGGTGGTGGCGTCGCCGAGAGAAGGCCATGGGAACGGTGGTGAAAGAAGGAAGTTTTGATTCTCTTCCAGTTTGCCTTAATTTGCCGATGAAGATGAGAGGGAATTGGGCAACACGTAAATCTCTAGACTGCTTATACGAGTGTCATCGCACGTACTACATTACCAAAAAACTTAAACTATGTACTATATTACATATCATGGTTAAGTAAAAAAAAAAAAGAGCAAAAATATACATTAATTAACTGTTTACCCTCAAAATTGGATAACAATTAAATTTGTAAGTGGTTTTAAGGATACGTGGATTAAATTGACACAAAGCGATAAATTAAATTGAATTTGAAATAAACAATGATAAAGTAAATTCAAACCACACGAATTGAACAGTTACAACCTTGGGGGATTAGCCACCTTTGAACAGGATGTACTTTGATCGGTATCTAGACACAGTTGAATAAAAGCTTAAAGAAAAAAATAACATGTATTGCTTCTGAGTGCGTGTTACAATGTGTAAAATGAATTATCAGACCCTATTTATATAGTGGGAGAGTCCTACTTTAGGTACAATTCTATAAAAGATAAAAATCTCTTGATTTGCTGATTGCCGGTTCCTTATTAATACGTACCGAGATTCCCGCCGTAATATCCGAATGGTCACGGATATTTCGGTGTTCTGTTGGTTACGCTAACAATGTTTCTTCGAGCTTGTTCGGGGTCAGGGTCGATTTCGGGATCACAGACTCAATGTTCTCGAAGACAGACATTCTGACCTCGGGTTCTGGTCTGGTGGGACTTGGGATCGATCTTCAGTCACTCATGTTCCGAACCCGATCTACTATGTCGTAGACGAGCCCGATTTCGATCGTATACAGATAGTCCCCTCTTTTTTCGGAGAGTAGACAACGAGAAACGACATGAGCTTCCGATTCTCACTTCGATACCCCGCAACAAAAATGACAAAATAAATAATACGTCACGCCAGTCAAGTCTTAATGGCATTAAACGCTTGTCAGTTGCCGGTCGGTCACTCCTGTATGCGAACCGTCATTTGAAAACTATAAGTACCCCATTCTTTATTCATTCAAACATTACATACAAACCCTCTACCCTTGTTCCTTATAAATCACTATACTTTCTGGCACTTATACCCTGGTTTTTTGAGATCTTTTGTGAGAACTTTTGCTCATCTCATCCCAAACCATCAAGTGTACTCCTTTAACTTCCTTTTTTTCCTACATTTTAAAAGAAATGGCTGATCTCGTTCAAGTCACACCTCTATTCGAGAATATGAAACAGTCGATGCAATAGTAATACCCAACTTTGGGTCGGGGTCGAATTCCACATGGAGGTATAAGATTGGGATTTAGGAGTATATATTACGGTATATGAGCTTGAATTATCCTAAATTTCACTTCCGCAAATTTGGTTGGTTCTACAGCTACGTAAAACTAAGATTGCAAATAAGTAATTGAAACTAAGAAATTGTGTTTTTGTTGTTGTTTTCAAATATTGTAAAAGGCCTAGGGCTATGACCTTCACCTAGGTGTTTGCCTAACGGGTTGTAAACTTTAAACCTTGTTTTGTTGGTCGGGGTGTATTATAGCTATCAACACTCAATTACCCACTCAATACTTCTCGGTAAGAGAGTGATTTTGCCTAATTTGGCTTTCTCAAGTCCAAATGGGTATTGAACAAAACAGTAGATAAAATGCTCAAGTCGGATTTTACTATCTCTAGGTTCAACCCTTTAATTGGGACTATCAATCTCTTGATTTCATCCCAAATTCTTGTCAGCCAAGTTTTCCTAGACGAAGTCTCTCTTTCTCAAGTAGAGATCAAGTCAAATAGGCATGAACTAATGTTTGCAACCATTAATATTCTACTATAAAAAGCAAGAACAAAGCTAAATAATCAACACCCAACCATAAGCAAGCCATAAATTAAACACCCATTAGGTTTACACACTAGGGTTGGGTCACAACCCTAGATAAAAATCTAGCTACTCATAATGGGTAATGAAGAAAACAAGGAAGAAAAGATGATAAAACTCATATTCAAAGATTAAAAGATGAAAATCCAATGTTAAATCATTAAAACAAGCTAAAGTTGCCTAAAGCAGTAAGTAAAAATGGCTACAGGAGTTCCAATATTCAAAACTTGACCTAATTTCGTGAAAGAAGTCTATTTATATACAGCTAAAATTTTCGGACAAAATTGCCCTTTCGGAGGTTCTGCGACCGCATAATTCTATGTGCGGTCCGCACTTTTCTTCAGCTCTTGATAGGATTGGATTCTGCGGCCACACAATTCTGGATTGTGGCCGCATCTATTGAATTTTGCGGTCCGCATAATTCTGGGTGCGGCTGCACATTTGATTTTTGCGGCCGCACAATTATAGTGCGGTCCGCAGTTCTTGTTGGGCTTGAATTTGGAACTTTCTGAACTTTGACTTCTGCGGTCGCACAGTTATTGTGCGGTATGCACTTTACATTGAAGCTCTATTGATTCTTCTTCATATTATGCGGCCGCAGATAGAATTTTGCGGTCCGCACTTAAGCGTGGGTGCTTGATTTTTTGTCTTTGTTCAAAAAGCACTCCTTCTTGAGTTGGATTTTATCGTAATGGCTCATTTTTCAATACTCCTGCAAGTAATCATATTTCACCAGTTTTCGGGAATACAATTAAACACTTTCGGAATAAAACGAAAGCAAAAAGGCGCTAATAAGTAGTCAAAATCCCCACTTATCAACTCCCCCAAACTTAAGCTTCTTCTTGTCCTCAAGCAATTAAAGTAATTCCCACCTCCACAAGTTGAGAGCTATTCCAGCTAATCTAAGGTGCATCGAACACATATTAAGTGAGACCAACAATTACCCACAACACTTATGAATTATCAACAAAGCAATGATTTGAAGTTTACGCACCAATAGTTCTAATGTGACACTTGAGCATCAAAAGTTGACTTTATTCATCAAGGAAGCTCGCTCTTTCATATAGGTCACTGTGGATCCCAAACTCCTCCTCCTCTACTCTCCGTTAGCATACCTCACTTAAGAATGTAGCACTCAATTCAAGGATTTGTGAAAAGTTTGCTCATCTCTCTCAAAATAATGTCACAAGTACGACTCTAAGTACCATATGCTTGCCCCTCATGTAAATCACCACTAATGCAAGTTCACTCGGCTAGAAATCATGTAGGGATTTTTCGGAATGTAATGAAGGCTTTTGGACTATGGTAGGAAAGGTTGGAATAGAACGGGTTCATCTTTCCTTAAGCACTCTATTTTCTCTTTTTTGCTCATATTTTTCCGACTCTTTGAAGCATTTTCTTTTTCCTTAGGGGAACTAGAGAGACTTAACATCACTCTTTCTTGTTCATGATGTTCATTTTCTCCTTCTTTGTTTTCTCCATGCTTTGCATCATTGCTTTTCTTTGAATTCCTTCTAACTCTTCAACTTATTCACTTTCTTTTTGTATTTTTCTTTTGTTCTTTCTTTCTTTTTCTTTGCCTTTCCTTTTCTTCATTTATTTTCTCCTTTTTGTGCCTTGATACCACTTTCAAACTCCTCGTCTCTCCCCCAAACTTATGTTTTAGCCAATTGTTTCTCTAAAGTATTAAGAAAATCTCAGGTGCCAAGAGAGGGTCACTACAAAATGGGTAAAGGCTTGTAACGTGATTATCAAATGAGAAAGGTCTTAGGCTCAAATGGGTTGACTAGGGATAGCAACATTGGTGGGACATGGAAAATTTCAAGCGGGTCAAGGAGAGCCTACAATCACGTCTCAAGCTAAGCAAAACTTAGAATTTCGCCTAAAAATACATTCGGGGCGAGTTCTAGATCATTCGCACGGGTACTTGGACTTGCAACAAAACATCTCACTTCTCACACACCTGGATTGTTAAAGAGGATAGAGTCGAGGGCCCACAACAACCATATTCAAGATTAAAAATCACTAATGGTTCAACTAAACCACTCGATGATTGCTTAAGTCAACACAAGAGTCAAAAGGTCAATAACTAGAGCTATTTCTTTCCAAGAACTTGTTTTTAATCATAAGCACGTAGTTAAGTATGTTGGTACCAAGTGAAGCATGCTCGACTCTTCTAGTTCAACTCAATTAGGTCCTCTTATTCATTATTACTACTATTCTTACTAAAACATCAAAAACAAACTCAATAAGGTTGTCACACCATCCATTGTTGGGAAGAGTCACCCGGTTCATGCAAAAACCACCTTTGGAAAGAACCGTGACATTAAGAAAATTAAAGGCTTATTAAAAAAGAAGATATATAAGTACATAAGACGTTATTAGACTAAACATCGACTACTAAGAAAACAAAATAAAGAAGCTATAGAGTAAACTACTGAAAGCATAAATGAATATACAAACAAAGAAAAGGAAAGAGAATATATACATCAATAGAGAGAGAGAAGAATAGGTACATAAATAAAAAGGAAAAGAAAATTTTATCAAGTTATTACAGGCCAAATGTCATCAAATCAAAATAAACTCCACCCCCCAAATAAGAATANAAGTTATTAACTAGGCCCAAAATCGTACATCCAAAATCCAAAATAAACTACCAAGACCCCCCCCCACCCCCCCCCCCCAAAAAACTAAGAATAAGCATTGTCCCCAATGCTTAACAAAATGAAAATCAAGGAAGGAAAGAGTATAGAAGACTCATTATATGGTCTCAATGTCCATAGCAGCATCACCACCCTCAGGCTCCTCCAACTGTATCTCATCGTCCTCTGCTCGGGGAGTAGCTGGGTTGGTGAACATCTGAAGCACCGCCTCAGCAGTGTGGGCAGCAAGGTCTGGCTCCTTAGACTGGCCAGCTGGTGCCTCTGGTGCTGATGGTGCTGTTGGGTCTGCTGGTGCTGCTGGAGCTGACTCCATCAGCAAATCAAGTGGGAGATCCCCAGCTGCTGCTATCTTGGTCACCTCGCGTCTCAACTTGTCAAATAACTTCTTCAAAACGTTGGATTTCCTCATCTTCTTCACTTGCTTCCCAAGATCCTCAATTGTTGTTCCATGTGCCACCAAGGTATCCATGATGGTCTTCTGGTTTTCCAGAATCTTCTTCAAAGTCTCCTC